GATTCCACCGCACGACCTTATCACAATTTATTATGCATTGATTAGATCTACATTAGAATATTGTTGTACAGTATGGCATTGTGGTCTACCTATGTATCTGTCTGAACAAGTCGAGAAAATTCAAAAACGTGCATTGAGGATCATACTGCCAGGTCGATCCTACGGTGAAGCACAAGAAATGTTGCAGTGTCCTAGGCTAGATATACGTCGAGGTGAACTTTGCGAAAAGACGATAAAAAATATTGCATTGGGCAGTCGTCTTTCTTCCCATCTAACTCTCACCAGTGAAAACGAACATGTGTATAATTTAAGGAATTTTAAACAATTCGCTTCTTTTAAATGTAGAACTGATAGATTTGGTAATAGTTTTTTCCCTAGCATGATTAGTGTTTTAAACAAATAATTGTTCTTAGTTATAAGTTCTTATTTAATAATCTAATGATACATTGTAATATAGTTACTTTTAGTATTGTAATTCTCATTCAAATCAATTGTAAAACACATTGTAATTCATTTTCATGCGATGATGTGTTATTAAAATACCATTATTATTATTATTATTATTATATCTATTTGACCAAGACAATATTAACAAAGAAGACACGTCAGAAGTTATGTTCGACGAAAGGAATTGCTCGTCTATATTTTTGTTCAGACAATTGTGTAACTTGATAATATACCATCTCGCTTGATTTCCAAAGCTCACAAATCGCTATAATGTTGACATTGACTAAAACTATCGATAGGAATTACACTGAATCGAATGGTGGTATTCTCATCTTCATAGCATTTACTGAACCGAAGATATGAACCTGCAAAATAGTATTCCACTATTGACCTAGTATTAGTGGGGTCTGTCTGCCAGGAGTTTTAAACTAAACTGCTTATAACTGATTGGTTTATTTTATCATCACAACGTTTTTACCATCAATCAGATCAGTTTGTTACAGATTTTTGTATTAATTGTGATAGCAGAAAATTGCACTGTGATTACAAAAATTGCTCTGTGATTACAGAAAATTCCACTCTGATTACAGAAAATTTCACTGCTGTTTTTGGGATTAACGTTGCACTGAAATCAACCAATCACTTTCAAGCAATATTTTTATGTATATTATTATATTTATGTCACACCATTCAATGAGATTTTTATTATACAGTATGGCAAACCTCAAAAATTTCGCTGTCTTTCTTGAAGGATTTGCATGCGTTTCGTGCTGTTAAATTAACGGCAAATAATTTCAGGTTCATTGAAAACAAACATCCTGAAACAGGTTGAGAAGGTGCATACCAAATGAGGAACAACTTAACACTGATGTCATCATTGTTGTCTTTGGTTGGATAAAATATGACAAACAATGAAAACCTGTCAATCAAGCTAGTTTCTTAAATTAATCAACCAAATTTTATCTGCCACAAACAAGATCGAAAGCTGTTTTGAGTTTATTATATTAAAATATGCCGATTAAAAGACGTTAATAAATGTGATTTCGTGGGGGGGGGCACAAGGGGGGACTGGGGGGAATCCCCACCCAGTCCCCCCTTGTGCCCCCCGCCTCCCCCACGAAATCACATTTTGCCCCCCTCCCCTTTTCCCTAAAATTATACAAATAAACCAGCGAAGATTAACAAATACATAAACGGAAAGTAAGTTTTAGGCTTTATCCTTTGTCCTTGTTTAACAAAATCGATTAAATTGTTACTTTTTTCTACCACTAAGTAATGATAAATTATTGTTAATTATATATTTATTTCTTGGATGCTCAGAAAGCAGGAAATAGCATTTCCTAGTTTCAAATTTCAAAGGTTTTCTGGGGATTATCCGTCTAATAAGTAATGATAAATTACAGTTAATATTCTTTTTTACTTCTTTTGCATTTTTTCCATCTTTTCTTTCAAATACAAATATAGTTACCATAAATTTTAGAGCAAATTTGGATGCTCAGAATGCAGGAAATAACATTTCCGTGCTCCAAATTTCAAAAATTTTCTGGGGGAGTACACCCCCACACACCTGACCATTGCTACCCTCCTGTAATAAATAATGATAAATGATGGTTAATTTTTTTTAACTTTTTGTGCGTTTTTTCCTTTATTGATTTCAAATACAAATATAGTTAGCATTAATTTTGGAGCAAATTTGGATGCTCAGAATACAGGAAATCACATTTCCGGGAATCAAATTTCAAAAATCATCTTGGGGAGTACTCCCCCAGACCCCCCATCCATGCGTGGTATATTGGCCACACACGTGGCCTTCAGCCATTGCTATCGCCCTCTATGGGGAGGTCCCTTTTAAAAAAATCCCCCCACGGGAAAATCCTTAAAAAGGCCCTGTTCTGCAAGCTAAAAATGAAGTCTAAGGCGCAACAATGACTGAGAAGCTTTGCTCGAGCCAAACATTTGACGTCCAAACTGTCCAATTACTTCAAAAATGTTCAGATAAGTGGCCATGATTTGTTTTCGTTGAAAAACTAGTATTTGAAATACTTTGGAAGGTTGAGATTTTGTTTAGAGAATTTGTGCTGCCGTTATTTTAACTGTTCGTGAGCCAGGAGTCAGTTTTGATCTAGTGTTTTTTCTATAGTACAAGTCATTTTTTAATACCATGGACTGGTGGGGCATTTGCCCCACTGGGCCCCTTCCTCTGCCCCACCACTGAAAAAAAATGACATATTGCCCCAAAGTCAGGGCCCTAGGACCTGTGTTGAGTAAACGAGTTTAACATTGAGAAGAAGTTTATGTTGTGTTTGAATGTTTAGCATGCAATTTATTGCAAAATTTACCATTAAATCTTTGTTTTGAGAAGCTGTGATTTTTTTTAAAAGTATTTTCAGATTGTATGAAAACTCGTGCCGGCGGTACTGGGCTAGCACCTTCGGCAATGCAATTTTTTCTCGTAGACAGTCGGCTCCTCTAGATAGTGGGACGCATCATTGACCCATGCCCTTAAACAAAACATTCAGCGGATACATGTACACTTCTTAGTATAGAGTGCGCTGCCCAGTATATATATATATATATATATATATATATATATATATATATATATATATATATATATATATATATATATATATATATATATATATATATATATATATATATATACATATATATGTATACTGTTAGGGCGATCAGTGGATAACATGATATTTTTGTAAAAGTTTGTAACTGATCTATTAAAAATCTTCAATAAAAACATTCTAAATTTTCGGCTGCCAACTGCAGCCTTCTTCAGAGTATTTTGGCTGTTTTCGATTAGTTCAAGTCCTTTTTTGCCTTATCCCGTTACACTCAATTGATTCTAACAATGGTAAATACGAAACCGGAAATTATATGTGTTCATTGACTGCATTTTTGTCTAGTACAGAATGTAACGCTTCAAGAAACCTTTTTTTGTCATAGTTTTTAATGCCTTTTTCCAAAATATTTACGTCAGTTTTAGCGACTTCATGACCTGTCTGTTCAGCATGTTCTTTTATAGCTGAAAAAGTCTTTTTTGTTACGCCTGGTTTGTGTTCAAGCCATCGGGAACACCAACATCTTTTTGACTCCCCGACATAAGTGAATGAGCACGACTCGCATTTGAATTTGTACACAATAGCTTTTGTTTGCATTTCCTGTGGTCTTTCTTTTGGTTTTTTGAATACATTCTCTAACGTGACTATCGGCTTGAATACTGTCCGAATGCCTGCTCGAGTTAAGATGCTTTTGACATTTTCCGACACACCTTTCACATACGGAATGCACGTCGAGCCACGAATCTCAAATTCAGAAGAATTTTGTTGTGTTTTGTTTGTATTTCTAACATTATCAATAAACGCTTTCTTGTATCCCTTTAACTTTAACACTTCTGCTACTCTATTCGTTTCCTCCTTCTGTAAAACTTGGTTTGATGGAATAACTCTCGCTCGGTCTAATAATGATTTTACAACTGCGATCTTGTCTCTTACAGGGCTATGTGAGCCAAAATCTAGATATGCGAGTAAATGGAGACATGCAAACAATCGCTTTCCTGGATACAGAGATTTGTAAAATTTCTACAGACATTTCGATTAAAGTTTTCCGTAAGAGCACACACACCGACAAATATCTAGATTTTGGCTCACATAGCCCTGTAAGAGACAAGATCGCAGTTGTAAAATCATTATTAGACCGAGCGAGAGTTATTCCATCAAACCAAGTTTTACAGAAGGAGGAAACGGATAGAGTAGCAGAAGTGTTAGAGTTAAATGGATAC